TTACCATTAACCAAAGTTGATCAATTTTTGCTCAAAATTTTTCTATGCCATAATTTTTTTGAGCAGTATATATATATATATATATATATATATATATAAATGCTAATCTTTCTAATAAAAAAAATTTGTTTTAGTTCAAATTTGATAATTTTTAATGTATCTATAACCGTACATTATACATTATGATTTAATTAGATACTACAATACAAAATATTTTGTTTACACATGATCATAAATAATTTTTATATGAATTCCTGATACAAATTGTAATTCATTCTATCCGTTTTTAACATCTTATATAACGGTTATGAATATCGATTAAAAATTGGAATCGATTAATTCCTAAGATATACAGGATCGATCTCACTATCTTCGATGATTCGGGATCCGATAATCCACATACAGCCAACATTGCCAATTGATTAATATAAAATTTTCTGATTAGTACACAGAAAAATTTTTAGGCATTTTTAGGCCAATATGAATGAATATGTGCTAACAGAACTTTTTGCTTTTCTTGATCCCAGGCAAAAATGCTCGGTCTATAGACGTCGATTCGACCGACCATGTCTGCTTGAGATCGGTTACATTTAAGAATTGGCAATTGTAAAATTAAAAATTAATCATTTCTTATCTTTTTAATTATTTTAATTAAACGTATTAATTATTAATTCAAACTATTCAGCTATTTTATGTATCTAAATTATAATTGGTAAAAAATGGACAAGAAAAAACAACATATGCTCAATTTTAAGTTTTATAGTTGACAATATTTAAATGTAATTAATTGATTAACCTAATCAGAGATGGTGAGACTCTGGCTCATACCAGCTCATACTTTGACTCTATTAAAAATCGTGTTAAGTATTATGATTTAATATTGATCAAGCTAATCGGAGATGGTGAAACTGACCCATAGTTTGATTTTATATTCAAAATCGTCTTAAGTATGGTCTTAAGATACTACGGTTATTTTATTATAGTTGGATGAAGTTTTAACTTTTAAAAGGATGCTGAAAGATCGGCCAAATTTAAACGAGGTCGATAAAGCAATCTGTTCAATTCATGACAATATTTGATTAATATGAAAATTCTACAGTTTATATGCAGTGCAAATTGAAGGTATGCCGCTCTGCGGACAAAAAGACACAAAAGACTAACACTGAATTGTTAGAAATAGGATAAAAGCCTATAAAAAAAGTTATTCACTTTTAAAGATTTCAAACCTCGTACAAATTTAGCCGACCTTTCAACATCCTCTTAAGTTGCTCATGATCAGATTTAAGACAATTCTAAAGTTGTCTGAATTATCGACCGAACGTGATTATTTTCCAGCACACCATAACGTAATTGCAATTTACAGATTTCATTTTTTTCATAATCCTTTTCCACGATTAAAATATAAAAGTATCAACGTAGACTCAGACTCTGGTAAAATTTATGATGAGATTATATTTATGTTCAGAACGAAAAAAATTTAAGAAATTTAAAATTTCTGTTACCTTTTCTTACAATTTAGTCTAATATGGCGTTTAGAACTGTCAATGTGTGCCAATATTTGCTTTATACAAAAATTTGGCAGTCTATTGATACAAAATGGGAGCAGCCTGAGCTGCGAATTACGTTTTCAAAAAATGTTGAGTCCTTAGAATTGGGCTTGAATGCCTAATAAAAAAAAATTCAAGTGCTTGAAAACTTATTACGATGTGTGTGTACGATAAACATGAACACATTACTATAATACATACTACATCAATATTGCACATATACATATTCACAAATCGGTACAACAATATTTTTGGAGTTTTATCTCCAAAATTTAGCATCGCCTTAAGGCGATCTTGAATATAAGATTGAGCAATGATCATATGTACGCTTCAAGATCAGCTGAAATCACGGAAATATAACGCATATACATATATTAATATTAGAACACGCGCCAGCGCTAGTTGTGAAATGACAAAGAGATCTTAAATGATATTTTTTTTTTTTAACATGTTTTTCAGTGTGTAATGAAAATTGTATGAGCTCCACTATTCTCATATGCGTTAAAGATAAAGATACCACTTCACAGGCTTTTCTTGAATCGTCTCTTATTCTTAGAGTAGTGCCCTTTCCGATATTATTATGTTTCAGTGGAATCAACTGATTTTACAAAAACAAACATTTGTTTTTATTTTTTTACAATATTCACATTCATATTAATTTTCTGGTTGAATTGTTGAGAGATGAACATTGTCTCTTGACTGGTATTACTTTCGTTCGGTTCAGGTGAAGAATCAGATCTGTCGTCATTTGATGGATAAATCTGCAATGCTGCATTCCTGGCATTATCTTGCTGTTCGATATTAATTTCCGGCAATGCAATAATAGCTTGCCTTCTGTAACATAATTTAATAAAATACTGCGATTGTAAATTAATTTAATACAAGTTTTATATGAAATTGTTGAAGTATTAATTTGATATCGATTGACTAGAAAAAAAAAAAAGAAATTTATTACTTACATTGTAGACACGTTACCATCAGGAATGTCGTTTTGTAATGGTGCTTCATTTCTTTCATTAGGAACGTGTGCGTTACCACGCAATTCGGCCCATACTGGTGGTACAAATGCTATAGCACCTTGATATTTATCTGTGTCTTTGGCCTGTCCGTGTACATGATATTTGTCTTCAACAACATTAATGAATGGAGCTAAAAAAAGCGAATATTTGTAAATTACATAAAGTTGTCACATATGCATTATTATATATAATTTATGATATAAATCCTTTTGTACACAGGACAATTACCGCGGTCTGAATTCTTCGCACTTTCATTTCAGCGTTCAAATATGTAGATATACTGTAGATATACTGTAATATAATAATTACGTTTTTGTTAACGTATATTTAATCGATTACTTTTGTGCATTATCATATGTATCTAGAGTGTCTAAAGCTTACAAGCGTGCGATTATAAAAAGTGCGATTATAAGAAGTTGTTTATTGTGTATTAAGGATTGGTGCCATGAATTAATGTAAATTAATTTATTAATTTGTGCAAACATTGTGCCAGTTCCATATAAAGCATTTGAAAATTATACAATTCTTTGTGAAAGTTTTCTTTATTGAGCAGTTTTTAACATGAAAAAGCGAAGTTTTCTTTCGCGCGGATTCAAGCATTTATCAATTGATTACTCACAGACACTGATTTATGTGTATTACATAAAATAATTTAGATTAGTATGATATAAAATGACATGTCGCAAGCAACAAAGTTATTTTAAAAATAGAAGTAAAATTGAATATTGGCTCGTATTTTAGAATAAAATAGAAACTAGCTAGAAGATATAAAAATCAATCAAACGTCAAAAGAAAAGGTGATGATTGCTTCAGACAGTAATCTTAATTATAAATTCTAGACACTATAACTCACACTTTTTATTTATATTGCCTTTATATCCTTTAGTTTCTATTTTAATTAAAAAAACTAAATGATTTTTATTATCAGTATATATGAAACATATCTGTTATGGAGTGGTAAATAGCTGTAATACGTATGTTACCAATTATTTTTGTTACTTGCAGATAAGGCTGCAGTTCAATTTTATAAGAAATTTTATCAAATTTTGTAAGTTTTCTTCAAAAAATTGTAGCACGAGAAGTCTTAAAATATTTCAAAATTTACATATGTAAAGAATTCTAAAAAAGATAGACATTCTCAGCATTTCTGAAAAGTATTTTAATTCATATAAAAAATTCGAAAAATTTATTAAAAAATTATAGAAAATTTTTTACCAAAGTAGCTTTTTATGACATTATTATATTTTTTATTTATATTAAATAAATTCATTTTTAATGACAGAGCCTGGTTATGAAGGAATGTATATCATTTTGTATATTAAAACAATAGGATAGAAAAGTTTTCCCATTATAAAGGTAAAATAAATATACATATACGTACAAAGTATTAAGAAAAACAAGTTTCATACAAAGTATTAGCTGCTGTTCTGTTCGGGTCTATTTGACCCAAAAATATAGTTTATTTTATTACTAATATTTTATTTAAAAATTTTTCTTTGATATTTGATGACTTAGTCTTAATTAACGTAAGATTTTTATTCTTGCAAACATTTTTTGATCTATATATTGATTCAAATGATACAATCATATAAATTTGAACAAAACAGCAGGATTAAGAAAGATTCTAAAGTTGAATAATAGCGAATTTTGTGAAAGATAGATATTATTTGTAAGTAATAAGATATTACAAATAATGTTAATATAGGTAATGGTTACATTTTTACAAGGATACGTAGAATTTATTTTATATAAGTCGATTCTTTGAGTCATTTTTCATATAAAGATGTTAAATGTGTTTGTCGCCAAGCAAACAGGTTTAATATTTTAACATTATTTTATAGTTGACTTTCCATGCATGTCGAGTGTATTATGTTGTAATAAAGAACAATGAAATACGAAATTGAATTAGAATATTATAATAAATAAAGTTAAAATTTGTTTATCAATATATTTTGTGCCTATTATTACTATCAATAAATCATATACTTGTAGATATAAATTGGTTGTGACTCAAGATGACTGACGTAAAATTTGTATATGACTTGTCTATTTCTAGTAATGCAATCTGTAGTATATGCGTCTATTTATAGTAATACAAAGAATAGATGACTGACGTAAAGTTTGTACTACAAATAATATAAAGAATAGATGAACTTTAATCTACTCTTTATTTTTTTCTAATTCTTAGAACTAGAAAAAGAGATAAAACATAAGTTAATCTATATAAGTCTATATTGGACATTAGTGTTGGTTATCGATTGTCATGACAATAAATGTATCAAGATAAAATCATAAAAAAGAATAATCTGTATTTCACATTCAGGTATGCCGTGACATATGAAATATATTTTAAAAATTTTCATTTTTGATTTTATAATGTGTTATATGTAGAATGACAGGAAGACTCGATTGGTGACCTTATCTTTTATATAAACATTGTATACCTCTATGTATTGTATTTATATTTTTCCATTGATGTATAATTACCTATTATTATATTTTCCAGATGAAGCTATATATTTTATCACATTAATCGATTTTTGTTATCATTTTATGTATGAAAATATTAAGAACAAATAATTAAAAAATGAATATTTTAATATACTAAAATGTTTTATAAAAAAATTAAATATGAAACATTTTGCTCCAAAAATATTTATTTTATGATATTTTCGTCTATTATGTTTTTATTATACGGAATGATGAGAATAGATTTACGTAAAAAAACATATTGAATATATTCCTTTTTTTATAGAAGTAATTATTTTGCAAAAGCGATTATATTTAAAACAAAGACACACTGCAGTGTCCATAAAATGTTCTAAAAACTAAATCATGTTTGTCTAAAATATTTTTACTGATATTATTTGGCATTAAAGGTATTTTATAGTATTGATTAATATAAAAAATCTTTTAACACGCGCGCGCATAGATACTATGTACTATTTATAAATATACTTACTCTGTTCTTCTATCGGAGCAGTAGCAATTGTTAATGTACCATTATTTGTTCCATTACTAACTGCATTAGTATTTGTTACATCAGTACTGTCCCGTCCAAAACAGTTGATTTTTTCGAACCCTGGAAAAAATGTATTTGCAATGTATTAAGTTAAGTGATTAAAAACAAGCAAAAAGGCGCGAAAATATTTCAATTCGAAATAATACTCCGATGCGAAACTTACAAGCTAAGAACTTTTTACTACACCTAATACATAGATCGAATGTATATATAAAAAGCGCCTAATGATCTTAAAAAATAAGAAAGAGGAGAAAGAAAGTGGGAAAAAGGAAAGTAAAAAGGGGGAATAGAAAGGAGAAAGAGAGTAACAGGAAAGAAAAATAATATAAAGAATTTATCTAAAAATAAAATTGAAAACTTACACTTTTTGAAGAGGCATCTTTTGAAGTTTAATAAAATTACGATGACAAGAACTATTGCAGTTATACCATTTAATACGTATGATAATATATTTGTTGGAAATCCTGCAAACAGAAAAATTTAACAATTAGAAAAGCAAAAAACTTTGTTGTACCTAAGAAATAAGAATCTTACATATGGATATATAAGAATCTTATAATTTCAACGACAAACTAGTGAACGATTAAAATTAGCAGTACAATATGCAATAATTATTCTACATATGCAAAGTATAAATCTAAAAGTAACAAAATTACTCACCTGAATCGTATATTTCAAAAGTTGCGTTTTTTTGACAATATGGAAATTCTCTACCGTTCACGAGTACGTTAGTCGTATACCTATAAATTAAGAAAATAAAGAATAAAAGATGCAGTATAAAGAAATATTGTATCAAGTAGGTCTTCTGTCGTGCATCAATTTGCTTCGACATTGATGATTACGGTCATGTGATACTATTCTAATCAAATGTTTATTATGATGTGTGACACATGGTCATTCAATGAATAGCACTGATATTTTACAATAGCATGTGTCACTCATTACTTACGTTACTACACGATTACAAATTATATTAACAAAATTTATCGTAAAATTTATTTTTTCTCATAAGTAGAGATTTTTACATAACGTTAAAAAAGGATAAGCAATTGAAGGGCTCTATGCAAAATTGGTCAGCTCCATTTTTGGCAAAAATCACTTCGAATGGATTTAACATACTAAATATTCCGCGTGTTTTAAACTAAACTGATCGGTCTGTAAAATATGTAATAATGTCATTCTGTAATAATTATTCAGTTAACATAAAATTACTAATAAAACAATTAATAATTTCTGACTGGGTTATGTTCAAGATTCTATCAGATTTTCGAACTATGGCCTATTGTGACCACAAAATTAAAAATTCACAATCAAGAAAAAGAAGAATAAACTTACCCCTTTATACAAGGTCCACATTGGTCCACGTTGCGGGCTCTTGTCCTACCCTCTTTACGGTTGTATTGTGAGCAAGTGATAAAATTAATGCAGAGTTTGGAAATTGTGTAGCAATATAAATTCGTGGGACAATCATTGTCATTATCACATTTTTTCTGCAACAAAGATGTAACAAAGAAAATGTTATCTTAGCGCGAGTTTATATAACGAAAATAGTCGATTTAATATTTACGTTAATTAATGAATTTAACGTTTTTTTTTATTTGTTACTTTTACTATAATTTGCTATTAATCAACCTCAATCAACACACAACTGTTAAATTAACTGCTCATGCAATGACACCTGCTTAACGAAGTAAGCATAGTGAGACATCCACAGTTTTCTATAGAAATTCTGGTACATACACAGATTTCTATAGAAATCTGGTATATAGAAAGCTATATAGGTATATAGAAGTCTGTAGAGACAACCAATTAGCATCATGGAAAAGTGACCACAATATTTCGAGAGATGCGAGTTATCGACTTAATATGCCTTTTTTTAGATTTTGACGTAAAAAATATTACGTAAAAAGTATTCTTGGTTGGAAGAGTTCAGACTTCTTGAATCTTTCAGGAAAGCAATTACAACTAAATATAATTCCCCAATTATTATTCTGACAACTTAAACATAGTATCACTTACATAGTTTTCTATTTCAACCCGTTGCGCGGTGACAAAGATATCGCCATCACCGCCGCTGATCAGTGTGCAAAGCATAGCCATTATGAATATAACGCACCAGTTGCCGGCAGCACTAAGGTAATCCTTGTACACTTTGTCGGAAACATTGCCTACCATTCGCATTTCAGCCACCTAAAATTAACGTAAATAATAAAACGTTAATTAATTTCGTTTAATATTTCGTCAGTTTTGATTTTATTAAATGTTGTATCTTTCTTGATTTTCAACAAAACAAGAGCTATAATTAATTCAATTTATGTGCACGCCTATGTGTGTCTATACATATAACATATGTACATATAAGGTGGTTCAAATACAATGTTACAGGTTAATATTTGCATAAAATATATATAATTAAAAATTTTTTTCTTCTTTGCCGCCTTTAAAATTTTAAATGTTAATGTATGGAACTAGTACCTACATAATCATAACATAATCAAATTCTATGTTAAAGACCAAGCAATTTTTACTTGAAATATTTTCTTCTAAAATTTGTACCAAAAGTTATGGATCATGAAATGTAAAGTTCTATTGTACTATATTAGTTGATTTATAAATACAAAAATTAAATTAATTTTTCCAAAATTATTTTATTAAATGGCCAAAGAGATATCTATTATATTAAATATTTGTTCAATCTAAATATAAAATTTTTGGATTTGAGTCACCTTGTATATTTATATATAGACACACACAGGCGCGCAAATATAAGATGAATCATATAGTTCTTGTTTTGTTGAAGAAAAATACGATATCTAATAAAAAATCATGCATTTGATAACATGGATGGCTTGGATGCAAACAAAGTAAAATATGAACAAAAGTAAAATATATAGTAAGTAAAAATAATATTAACAGGAAATAATAATAAAATAATAAAAATGATAATTTTATTATTAAAATTATAAAAAGTCATTGAAGAACCATTTGTATATTTTTTTTTACAATTGGCTTGAATTTTGATTTGTGTGTCGCAATATTGTGCAACAGCGACTGAGGTATAAAAGATATTATCATCTTTGGTAGCAAAACTCGTGACAGAAATGCATAGCGCTGTGAAAATTTAATGATGAAAATTTATTCATTAGTTTTCATATTCGCCCTTATTTTACCAAGAAATAATTTAAAACTCCAATGTTTTTGGTTAATACTCATGACTCTTAAAATATTTCGTAAAAGTATATTAATATTAAAAATTCGATATCTCGGAGACTACAATAGCTAGAATTATGCGGTTTTCATTTTCTTTCTTATTATACTGACAATGAGTATAATTCAGAATTCTTGCATTTTCAATCAGAACTTGTGATTTTGAATGCATTTCATAAAAATGTATTAATTTTAAAAATTCAATATCTCAGAAATTGCAATAGCTAGAATTATGCGGTTTTCACTTTTTTTCTTGTTTTATTAAATGTTATTTGAATTTCAGAATTTAAATATCTTTGATCAGAACTCGCGATATTTAAAATACTTTGTAAAATATATTAATTTTAAAAATTCGATATCTTGGAAATTGTAATGACCAGAACCATGCGGTTTTCGCAATTATATAACTCTCAATTATCTCAATTTTTTGCTTATAAAAACTATTACATAAAAAGATTCAAATTTTGAAATATCTGATATATTTTTAAAATTAAAATACGTGAAACTCTTGCAAGAGTATTAGGAACTCTGTAACTGTTTAAAGGACATCAGAATTGTGTACAGAACTATTAATTTTAATCTATTAAACTATGAAGTGCCAGTAAAATTGCTTTTTTTGTCAAAATAAATAAAATGTTATTTTTAAAGACACTATTTAATCTTGAAAAATGAGTGAAGTTAGAACTCTAATTTTTCTAGTCTACTTTTCATTCTCATAACATAATGGAAAAAACTTAAATAAAAAATGATCAAAAAATTTTATTTTCGTTCTTAATAATTCTAAACTTACGACATAACTATGATTTTGTTGTTTAGAAGTGCCAACTTTACACACTTGCATATTGACTTTTTACATTTTAACAACATATTCTGTGTTATTCTTTTTTGTTATTAATTTGATGACAAAAATGTAATAATTATCTTTGATATTTCGTTTTGAATTAGGTTTTGTTAATTATTATTATCAATAATAGTTTATTCCCATAGGATAGGTCCCAAAGAAGAGAATAATTTTTTTTCAAGGAACTCCTGTATTTCGATGTTTTTAAAGAACTATCATATAACATTCATATTCGAATCGCCGGTGTGATTAGGCAACAAGTTGCGCGGACAATATTGCACGTGATGTCTGACAATATTGGTTCATATCCTTTGATTTTTTAATCTTTTATTTTATTTACTGTTATTTTATTGACTGTTTATCTTTTATTTTATTTATACATTTTATTTTTTATTATAGGATGCTCAAAACGCTTGTATCTCCTGATTATATACATTACATCTGTGTCATTATATCAATTTTCGTTCTAAAGTAGTGGAATTTCGCTAAATAAAAACACTTAGAAAAGATAATTAGCTTACAAAAAATTAGAATAACTAAAAATTAACGAAAAACTAAATTAACTAAAAATTCGATATCTCGGAAACTGTAATGGCTAAAACCATGCGGTTAGAACTATTACGATAAGTTTGGATAAGTGCGATTTATTATAGTATCGATAAATTGGTGGATATTGTATAAGCAATAGCCACATACACGCAATGCAAAAATGCATATCTCGAAGCATTTGCCCGAGCATTTTCCACTCATGCATAGCTCCGTTCGGAACTGAGAAAAAGCTGAGAGAACAGAGAGGTGATGACTCATGCTTTTCATAGGTTTACCGATGGCATTCATGGCGAGCTGTAAAAGCCTTGATCTCCCTCATCCCCAATAGATCGCTCCTCCTACTGTTTCCTTCGCTTCGCGCACGATCCTATTTTCCGATTTATCAAAAGATCGATTTTTTTGTCAACGGCAAGGGGAACCGTGACGGTCACACTCATGACGTCACAGCGAATATATGTTTTACCACATCCGTCGATGTGCGATAATCGAGAAACGCGCAATATGCACCACGAGTACGTCTCATTTCATTTCAAATTGCAATTTTGTTTTTCCGGTTCTTCTTCGAAGTTTCCTTTGTATTTTCGTCGATTATATTCCATCTTTGCCAAAGATGATGAAATCGCTCGTGGGGTTACGACATTACTTCACGACGCGTTCTGCACGCATTCTTGCAAAAAGTGTAAGTAAATTTTTAACGAATTTGAGGAGAATGATAGATTGTTTCACAAATCGTCATTATTAAAACTTGTAAAACTTGTTACAAATGCTGCATTTCTTGAACGCTGTTATGTGGCGATGATGAAGTATCTATAATATTATGTGCTTACGTCCTGAGAATTTTGTACTTTTTTTAAATGTTACAAAAAATACTTTTTTTAGCTATTTTTATAAATTTTCTAATAAAGTTATCTTTATAATAAATATTTATTTATAATAATACGCTATAATTATTTCGTATTTACTAGATATAAATTATTTAATTATATTTCATTATAAATTTAAATTCGACTGAAACTACTGAATGATCTCTTGCACGAAACTTTTAAAATTTGATGGTTGCTGAAGAGTTTTTAGAGAGTTATTAATTCCATGATCTTTGGGATCATAAAATTCGAATATTAGATGACTAAAATCCCATTACATCAGTTTGGATTATATAAATTTGACATAACCATTCGTAGTATTTTCATAGCCGATTATAATGCGCTTGGTTTAAGCTTATTTGAGTTATTTTTTTAAATAATAGAGTTATAAGAATTTTTTTGAATAAAAATTATTTTGTTTAAAAAGATAATATATAATTTATATAATTAAAAAAATTTTTTTTTAAATGTTTTTTTAAAATTTTTTAATAAGTTTTATTTTTTAAAATAAAATAATATATCTATTTTGTATAGTTTCACAAGGAATTTTACGATAAATGTAATAATGTACAGTACACGTGTGATTTTCGGAAATTGTCAATGAGACATTGTCACTTATATTGCTTTTAAATATAAGCTGAAAAATAATATCTTCAATAAAGAAGAGTTTACTTTGAAAAAATTTTGAAACGTTTAAGTCTGCATATTATGTAGATCTTACAATTAGATAAAGAAACTTTTTCGAGAATATTTTTTATAACCATTATTTAAAAAAAATAGTTGAATATATATACTTAAACCAAAAAAACACACACACACACACACACACACACACACACATAAATTTAATAGTCGATTTTGATCAATCATACGAGAATTAACATTGTCCTTAATCAAATTTCTGTCTTTGTCTAGAGAAAATATAATCTCAAAAAAGAAAATCAGTTGCTTAAAATTAATTAATTCAAACTATTGATTTATAATTCGATCTAATAAAATAAATTCTTAAAATAGTATATAACAAAATATTTGTATCGGTTGCTTATGCCTGTGTAAGTGTGTATTGATCCCGTTTATTCGTGAAGGACGCACCAAGTAATGTTTATTTTCCATTAATCATATGAATAAGATAGAATTATATACAAACATATAATAAAAACAAGAAATATATTGACACATTGTATATATAAATATTATAAATAATAAGAGATTTAATTATGCATTTGACATGGCTCAATCAAGTTCTATCCTTGCTTTCGACAATCCTGTTGTTTATAAATAATCGAGAATCTTCTAAAAGGTCGCATTTGTCTGACTCATGCTAAAGCCCATGGCACATAGAAAAGCATGAGCGAGACAAGTGATCGCCTTAGAGTCGATTCTAGAAGATTCCAGACAAACCCAACCCAAGATAATCGCACAATCTGTATAATGAATAATCCATAATGATTTTTAAGTATCAATTTCTCTTCGTAAGTATAATAACTGTCATTTTTAAGTAAATCTGTGTAATCTTGTTTTTTTTTTCACACGTTGAGACCGCGAATGTACAATAATCGAGGAATTATTGAAGCAACAGGTGCGTAAAATTTCGGAGTATAAGAAACATTTCGGAGTATCTATTATTTTTTATTGATTTACGTTGATCGTGATTCGGTAGTTAAAAGTCATATCACTGTTTGAAACATATATATTGAAACATGTACACTCACATATATATATTATACTCAAATTACACTTGTCATTTCTTTTGTTACGGGGTGGACAGTTTTATGGTCAGTAGTCGCTCGTTAATAATATTCTTTTACTCGTGCGTACATGTGGGATAACAAGATTGAAAATTCCGAGTCACTCGTTTTAAAAACGTTTCAAATTTTCGATCTTGTTACCTCGTACATATACGCACAAGCAAAAAAATATTATTAGAAACAAAAAATGAAAATATACATCCCAGGATATGCAATCAAGTAAATTAAATTATAAGTAAGTATCAGGAAAGACCGTAGAATGTTAATTAACAATTGAGATCTTAAAATGCCAATACAGTACAAAGCGGATTTTTGGTGCTTCCATATTAGAGTAAATCTTACAATTTTCGGTTCATATAACTCCATGTGGAAAATCGTGTGCTTCTCCGCAGCTCCGAATCTGGTATATTTACTCCTAGTAAATAGGAGTATTTATTTAAAATAGATGCTCTGAGCATCGATTTATTAGATTGCCTTCGGCAATTTAATTGTGATATTACATATTGCTCGATTCGGAGCTGCGGAGAAGCATGCAATTTGCGGCCATGTATATAGTATTACATGAACCGAAATTTGTAAAATTCACACTAAAAATTATATAGAAGCACCAAAATCAGCTTTGTACCGTGTTTTAAGTTTTCAATTGTTAAATAAATTATATTTCCATATTTTGCCGGAAATAATGAGAATAATAGTTTTATTATAGCCTTACCATTTTGTTTGGCTGATATATGTATAAGTAGCAAATTTATTGTTATTGTCGAAATTGACATTCCAAAAACTGTAAATCGCTCGGTTGGATTGTCAAACACTGACGTCACTGACGAGAGTGTTTTCGCTCGTTCCTTATTACAATTTTACTTGCATTTAAATTGATCGTATAACCCTTTACACATCACAGCACAGATTCACCTGTTGATCACTCGACTAGTGACTCATGACTGGCGGCAACAAGTTTGTGCCTGCGCTTCTCCGGTAATCGTCGAGTCAATAGTGGGGGTGAGTGGGACCAGTGGGGGTAAGAGAGAAGAAAAAAAGGGCCCCAGATTCACATCAGAGCCGTAGTAATTATTAGCAGGGTGATTCGTAGTTCATAAATATCTTTATATAAAATTGTATATGAATATAAAATAGTAGCTCTATATAAAATAAAAATAAATATAAATTAAATTACGTATAAATACAATATAGATGTGCACCCGTAAATTGAATGTATATTAAGAGGATCTTAAACCCTAGATCAAACTCCAAAAATCCGCTGTTTTACCGACAATTTGTGAGTATGTATGCGTGCGATATTGATGTAGTAATGTATAGTGATGTGTCATGTTTATTACCACATCAATATCTGTCTCTTATACACATCT